TATTTGTCTTATTTATCTGGGTCATAACAGCTACCTCCTCTGGACTGAGGACAACATAGGGCAAATTTGCTACTTGATGTATCTTTCCTGGACCATAGCAACTGTCTACATTTTACACAAATAGCTAATCTGACCATGTCTGTACATTATATGGAGAGGATGGTGGCCAGTCCCTGACGCTGACAGCAAGGAAGTTAGGGCTTGGTCGGCAGTTCATAAGGCAAACTTTCAACCATAAAGAGTGATTCCATCATTCACATGCCCATATACTGGCGATTGCCTCAGGTTCAACTGCAGCATATTTTTGTTCAAATGGGGAAAGAGCTTAAGAAGCGAAAGCAACAGGATGTTCCTCTCCCTGGTGAATTTGTGATAAAACTGCAACTAAAACAGTGGGAGAATCACAATAGACAAATGTTGGTGCATTTGGTGAAATATGGAAATGTGTCAGTGCTTATGCTATACAGTGTTTCAAGGCAAGTACAACCTTGGGACATCCTTTTTAAGTAAGACACACAAAGATGGTGTGATTTCAGCAAAGTTTGCTATAAACCTTCTATAATAGTTTGTGAATCCTAGAGATGAAGTATACTTCACTTTATCTTTTGGCTTGGGTGATTTGTGCATAGCATCAATGTTGCATTTTAAGCGTTGCATACCCAGTGATGAGTCTATGGCCCACAAAGTCAACCTCACTTTGTGAAAAAACACGTTTCCTTTTTTAGGGTATAGTTGTAGTCCATCATTCTTTGAAAAACTTGAACAAAGATCAAATTGTGTTTCTCCTGAGGGCTTGCATGGATGAGGATATCATCCGAGTAAATTGTTAAACCATGTATTCCTGCAAAAACAGTGACCATTATTTTTTTTGGAAAGAGTTTGGAGCTGAGCACAGTCCAAAAGGTATGCATTTAAATCGGAAAAGTCCAGATGCATAATGAAAGCTGTTAAGTTCCTGGCCCTCAATGCAAGTGGGATTTGTAAATAACCTATACAGAGGTATTGTTTAGTGAAGATTTTTTACCCATGGCATTAAGAAAATAAATTCAATGTAGTAGGTGAATAGTCAGGTATTATTGCTTTGTTTACCAGGTGAAGGTCAATATGTAGTTGACATCTTTCTTGTTGGCTCTCAACAGGCCCCATATTATCCTCCTACAGGAGTTTTTGAAGCTCTTCCTCAACCATGGCCCAAACTTCAAATGGGTAGCCTGGCTGGGGCTGCATCACTGGAGATATCTGAGGGTTCACAGATGGATTATGAAAAAAAAAGGTGAATGTTACCTAGTCTAGTAAAGGCCTGTAGGTTTCTATCTTTCCACACACTGTTAAACAGGCATATTTCTGAGCATCAGTCTGATCCAGAACTTTAAATCCCAGTGCAGGAAACAAGTCTAGCCCTAGTAGGTTGGCTTGACTCTGACATAAAATGCAAAACTGTCCAAATGCTTGTTTTGGTGTGTGACAGATTACCCAACACTGAAATTTGATTGTTATTGTAGCCCGTTCTTATAGTCTGTGTCTCCTGGGTGACAATGAAAACTGGCATTGTAACTTGCTGCATTTAAAATGGAAACCATTGCTTCTGTGTCTAACAGTAGCAGAGTTTTGCCATTAGCGACTACACAGTGACAGAGTTTATGTAAATCTGCATGTCGTTAGACTCCTGTTCCCCCTGCTTCAAGTTATGAACAGATGTACTTGGGGTGGAATGGCAACATTTAGTAAAGTGGTTCAGTTTGTCACAGGTCTTGTTTTGTTTTTAAGAATGCTGCTCAAATGTCATAGTTGATAGGGATTTCTAAGCTTGGATAACGGGAATATACAAGATGTCCTGAGCCTGCAACATCATCACTGACCTTGTTGGTGGCATAGTGAATTCCACTGTGTCTTACAATGAGCAGTTGTCATTGATGCTTAGAAAGAAGAGGAGGGGAAAGGAATGACTGTAATAAATCTGTTTGAATAAGTGAGTACGCCATGAGGGTCTCCTGCTGCTACTGGCACATTTTGGGGTACCTAATCTTTCATCAGCGTAGTGGGCTTACAGTGGGAGAGGCAAGCACAGCCGGACCAATTCTTCAAATATCTACTATTTAGCTCTCTTCTGTTGGTGCTGCAGCTACTCTGATGGAGTAAGTACTCCAAAATGTCTCATTAGCTGTAAGAGGCCCTCACATCATACCCACTGATGACCCACATTGCTGAGTCACCTTTTACATCCCTTGACAACCCCCCCCCCCCCCAATCCAGGTCAGTCATAGGAGGGTAGAGTGCCTGCTCTTTTGTTATTTCAGTGAATTGTCCAAATTTGTGGATTGTGATATGACTGACATAAGCAGGATTATTGTGCAATATTGCTTTTTAAATTTGTGAGTTAATATAATTAAACTTGTACCACATTTTTAGAATTTTAACAAATCAAATGATGTTTTGTGCTACCCAGTATGCTTTGACTCTTATTTTATTAATATAACTACTTGATCTTGCTCTCAAATTCCCAAAACTACAAAGATTGCCACAAGGAAGGTGAACGGCCTCTCAACTGAGTTAGCATATTCCTACTCATTACCCTACACAGTAAAAATGGACTCTGATTGCTCGCAAATCCAGGACAGTTGGAGGTGGCCTAAGCAAACATGTGGTACCTGCATTGTGTATCAGCAATCATGGTTAAAACATTTTCTATGTCATAACTGGATGGATTTTTGTCTTTTTTTTTTTTTCAGCCAGACTAACTATGTAACTATGATCTTCCAAATAGCAAGGGAGAATTTCTCTCAGGACAGGGCAGGAGAGGGGGAAGGCTGACCTGACAGTGGTTACCGAGGAAGGGTGGACTCCAGCAAGGAAGAGTGGTCTGGGCTGTCAGTATCTGGCTGTTTTAGAGAAGGACTATTAGCCTTCCAGTATTATTAGAGGATTTCAAGCTAGTATGGCCCACCAAGGAGAAAACTTTGTGCTTTTGGAACTGCTGTTCCTAGAAGATGTGAGGGAAAAATCCACCCTCCCATGAGCACACAACTACTGCACTGAGTAGAAGTCTTCAGCGACAGGCTTTCACCAGATAAGTGCACCACAGCCCTGGATCTGTACAGCACTCTGCAGCTAAAAAACACAGTGCACTGAGTGTCTGAACCTAGCCAACAGGGAGCCCAGTGCCCTAACTAAAGTCACATTATAGGCCTTTCCTGTGCTTCTTCTCTTCACAGATTGGGTATTGTTCCCTGGAAATGGAAAGTTCTAGCTGGTCAAGAAAGCTGCAATGTTGAGTACTTTTAAGCTCTGAAGTTACAAAAGAAATCTTGCTTAAAGTTAAAACAAATGTCTTGATTAATTCAAAATAGATTGGAAAGGTTTGGTTCTCTCAGGGGAGAGAGAGCGCAAATGTCCAACTCCTGAGAACATTCGCAAAAAAACTGAGTCCTACTAGGAGCAGGAAGGGTTATGCTGCTCTTTTACAACAACTTGTTGGTTGCCAGTTTCCCATTTCATTCAGGAGGCTGCATAACCTCGTGTCTCTGAATATTCTTCTGTGTCCTCTAATAAGTGTCTAGGAAATACTGTTAAGACAAACCGGGAACATCTGTAGTATCCACCCCCTATGGAACCACTGAGTTTAACAGGCCCTGCCAGCCTGTCTAGCGGTCAACTGTCCCACAGCTGTCCCCAGCACTGATCACACTTGTGTGGCAACTAGTTAACTACCACTCTGTCTGCCTGTGCTGTAAAAGGAATTTATTTGCACAAGCTTGAGGGGAAAGAGGGTTAGGGCACAGGATACCCAGAGAACATCTGCAAGAATTTGAACTCTAAACACAGCCAATGCAGATCAGGAATTTTTGATCAAAAACTGGCACACTGTGTCCTTTGAACCCAGGCTGTTGAGTAAATTCAATACTTTTGATCCCTAAACAAAGCACCAGACTTTGAGGTTCCAGCTCTGGACACTCTCTGGACACTCTCAGCAGCTGAAGTTCCTCCCTGGTGCTCCTATCCAGGGTCAAATTTCCTTCCTCCTGGACACATTACGCAACAGAGCAAGCTTTTTGATCAAGACCCTGTTCTTTTTTTTTTTTTTTTTTTTTTTTTTTCCTCCGTAAATTGGGTTTACTTCTTAGAATCTCTTCTTATTTGTATGTTGTTTAAATCATTGTCAGTTGGTACCTTCCTTTAAAATCATACATCTTAGGTGTTATTTTTTTCTTTAACCGTTTCCATACCGGGCACTTTTACCCCCTTCCTGCCCAAGCCAATTTTCAGGTTTCAGCAGTCTCACACTTTGAATGACAATTGCGCGGTCATACAACATTGTACCCAAACTAAAATTTTTATCATTATCATTTTATCATTTTCTTCACACAACTAGAGCTTTCTTTTGGTGGTATTTAATCACCGCTGGGGTTTTTATTTTTTGCTAAATTAACAAAAAAAGACCGAAAATTTTTGAAAAATAAAACACGTTTTTCTTTGTTTCTGTTAGAAAAGTTTGCAAATAAATAATTGTTCCCCCAAATTACCCCTTTTTGCAAAGTAGACAGTCCAACGTATTTCATCAGAGGCATGGCGAGTTTTTTGAAGTTTTTTTTTGTCAGAATTTTTCGGAAAATTTTTTTTTTTACATACTGTCACCAGTGCAGTACAGCATCATCATATAACTGGCATGGCGGTGATCAGGGGCACTGACTGGTGACAGTATGGGGAAAAAAAAAATATTTTTTAAAATGTTTTTATTTTTAATTTTTTATTAAATTTTTTTTCTTTTTTACATGGCCGGTGACAGATTGCTCGGCTCTGCGGCCATGCAAACTGCGCATGCCCAAAAGGACGCCATATGGCATCCACCCGGAGGGACGAGGGGTTTTGCAGGCCGCCATCCGGCTATAGACCGGGCGGGAACCTGTTAATTATAACTAAACATTAAGCACATATAGACTCAGAATCCTTGACTTGTAACCCACTAATTTTTATAAGAATCGCACACCGCTTTTACTACATACCAAAATAGTGTAATTTGTTTGCGCTTCGATAGCATTTTGGAGGTAAGCCATTTTTTCTGAATCCTGTAGATAAAAAATAAAGTAGCATATATTCTGACAAAACTCAAATATATACATTCAATTATAACTTTGTTATGCATTGATTTGTTGCGCATGTTTAAGAAAATACTGTATATTAAATATAAATGCATATACAGTATTTATACAACTTTTCTTGACATTTTATACATTTTCTTGACATTCAGTTAATTTTTTGCATTGCTGTGCTACTTTAACTGACAATTGCACGGTCATGCCACACTGCACCCAAATAAAATTTATGTCCTTTTCCCACAATTAGAGCTTTCCTTCGGTGGTATTTGAACCCCTCTGCGGTTTAAATTTTTTTGCGCCATAAAAAAAAAAAACAATTTTTAGAAAAAAAAAAACAATATTTTTGACGTTTTGCTATTAAACATGTCCAATAAAAAATTTAAAACAAATTTCATCATAAATTTAGAACAAAATGTATTCTGCTACATGTTTTTTTTCTAAAAAAAAAAATAAAAAAAATCCCAATACGTGTAAATTAATTGGTTTATGTGAACGTTATAGCATTTAAATATGGCGGTATATAGTATACTGGAATTTTACATTTATTTTTTTTCACTAGCAATGGCGGTGATCAGAGACTTTTATAGCGGAACTGTGGCGGGCATTCTGACACTGGGGGGAACTGACTTGGTGTCACTGACATCCCCTGTGACACCAATGCAGTGATCAGTGCTAATAAAAAGCACTAACACTGTACTAATAGCACTGGGCAGGAATTGGGGTTAACATCTGGGGTGATCAAAGGGTTAACTGTGTGCTGTGTGTGTTTTACTATGAGGCTGTGTCTGTGCTTTCCACTGTAAGCACACTGCTTTCTAAGGCTCTGATATGCAAAGCCATACAAAGTAGTGTTTGGAGCTGAGGGGAGAGAACTGTATTGTTTACATACAGTTCTCTCCCCCCGTCGGTAATACTTGGCGATCATCGGTGCCAACGATTAACCACCGGCCGAGGCCACGAATGGCGAGTCGCGCGCGCCCCCTACCTGGAAATGCAAAATCACATATATACGTGATTTTGCACACCCCTGCCGCCCTGTAGCAGTATTTCTACTATAGGGCAGCAGGAAAGCAGTTAAAGTGTCTGTAAAGCTAAAATGTGTTTTTACCTTAAAATGATGGTAAACCCTTATGTATACCCAGTGAAGTGACTGGCCTCAGGTGACACAAACATGAAACAAATCCTCTTACATAAGTTGTACTTATCTTCAGTCTTCTCTACTCCCATTCAGGGTGCTGAATTTACACAGGATCTCTGTTAGAGCTCTGAGAGCTAATTGGAGTAAAGGGACACACCCCCATTCACACAGGAACAGAGTTGAGGCTGTCAATCACAGGATATGGCTTCCCTGTCACCATTTTAATCTTGGTGTCAGAAATTACTCATGCAGATAGTAGAGGAAGGAGGCAGCAGGAGAGAGAAATGATGCTCTGTGCTCTGGATTGAGAGAACACACTACACAGTGCACACTACAGAGGGATATGCTTTTCATATTTCAAGTCAGGGATTTACAATGCATTCCCTGCATTAAAGTGGTTCTAAAGTCTTAAGGTTTTTTACCTTGATGCATTCTATGCATGAAAGTATAAAAAAGCCTTCTGGGTGTAGCAGCCCCCCTAACACTTAACTGAGCCCCTCTTGATCCAGCGATGTCCATGAGAGCCTCGGTTTTCCAGGGACTTTCACTACTGATTGACTGAGGCAGAAGCGGGAGCCATAGGCTCCTGCAGCTGTCAATCACAGCCAGTGAGCCGATCAGAAGAGGGTGGGGCAGAGCCAAGGCGCAGCTGTGTGTGTGAATGGACATGCAGAGCCACAGCTTTGGAGCACAGCTGCCCTAGCAAGCGGTTTGCTATGTAAACACCCAACAGGAGGGAAGGGCCAGAAGCACCAGCATATTTAGCGTTTAGAGGCAGAAAAAAAACCCTTTCGGTTTTCATTTTTGAGAAGAGTTTTATGGCAGAAAAAAATGCCAAACGCTCAACTCCTGTACAAATATGCTCTATATGAGCATTTTTTTTTCTGTCAAGGGAAAGGGAACTGACTTTTTTTAAGCCCAGTGTGCTTGGACCCTGAATCTGTTATTAGATTGATCAATTTTACATATTTTAATCAGTGTGATAATGCGAGGTACACGTTATTTAAACATTGTCCTTTTAAATACAAATATACCATACTATAATTAAATAGCAAAATTACATCATTATTTGTAACTAGTATAATCAACATTTTTAGTGTAAGCATCATACCGGTACTGTAGCTTTCCCATCTACCATTGCCTTTACAAATGCTAGTGCTTCAGCAGTGGATGATCTTATGTTGTCCACTCTTCCCATCCGAAAGCGCCGTATGGAAGCACTCTCATAGGTTGGGACAAGTTTCCTGTGGCACCTAGAGTGTGAGAAAATAATTAAAAATAGAATAAAAGTATTTTTTATTAAATATTGCTGTCTCTTTAACAGCTAGTTCTGTACTGAAAAATTTGAACAACTCTGTGCTTCTGTAAATTAAATGAAAAATAATAGTGCAAAATGGGGTGAATTGGTGGATAGTACAACTGAGTAAAATGAATAATGCCAGTAATCTAACTAGAGCCTCTCTATGCTTTATAGAATGCTAGATTATCTGATTTCTGCCTATATTGACTCTAGAAAAGTAATGTTCTTCAGGTTTTGCCATGTCTGCTTTCTGTATATACAACTGCTGTATGTCAGACAGCTCAGTGCCTTAGTGGGTATCCCTTATGCTTTGTAGCACTAAGATTTTTGGTTTGAGTGCAACCCAGGACACTATCAGCAAGGGTTCCCCCACATTTCATGTCAAAACAATTAAGGCTCCATGCACACTAGCTTTTTTTTAAGCTCCTAGAAGCTGTTAGCATTTTTTTTCTGCTAGAAGCTAAATAGTTTTATACTATGTGTCCATTATTATTTATTTATTTCAGGTACTTATATAGCGCCGGCAATTTACGCAGCGCTTTTACATATGTATATATTATACATTCACATCAGTCCCTAACCCTCAAGGGGCGTACAATCTAAGGTCCCTAACTCACATTCATACACATACTAGGGCCAATTTAGACAGGAGTCAATTAACCTACCAGCATGTCTTTGGAGTGTGGGAGGAAACTGGAGTACCCGGAGGAAACCCACACAGGCACAGGGAGAACATGCAAACTCCAGGCAGGTGGTGCTGTGGCTGGGATTCGAACCAATTACCCTAGTACTGCAAGGCTGAAGTGCTAAGTATTTATCCACTGTGCTGCCCATCCTGCTGTTCTCTATCTCCCCCTTCTGTCTATGTCCCGACTCCATGCGTACTACTTTAGGCTATTAGCATTTTATGAGCTTCAGCGGCTAGGAGCAGAAAGAAAATGTTTTTTGTAGAGGTTTTTTAAGCGTTTTTCCAGCAGAAGAAAATGCTAAATGCTCCTAACGGTTTTTTTTCTTCTACATGTACTGTAAAAAGAGTAATAAAACACTAACACTTCTGAACATTACTTACATAGTTACATGGTTAGTCTGTCTGAAAACAGACAAATCTATCCAGTTCAACCATAAATAAAAAAAAAAAAAAGCTGCATTTTTTTATGCTGTTTTTTACAGCGTTGTTGTTTGAACTAAAAAACAAAAAAAACAAAACACTGGTGTGCATGAAGCCTTAAGGTACCATTGGGTATGAGCCATGGTTTCCTTCTTTTAAAGAATATAGGCTCAGTCAGCAGACAACAAAAACAACAATGTGGGCATAAAAGGAATGCTGCTTTATTGTGTAGAAAATTTTATATAAAAAATATTTATGGGGAACTAAATTATGGTTTGTTGTTACAGTAAATATGTTACCTGTAGAATGCAAGCTGAAGTGATAGCTGGATGAAAGCGTCAGGACTCATGCTCTGCTTTTTGATAAATTCCTTTCCATATTTATTAAACTTATACACTGCAAAATCAAGACTTTGCACCATCCTGTGAAAACAGAAAAAGGTAGGATTACATTCTGGATACTATGAATGAAACTCTTACATCTAAGAGAGATTACATATCTTCTCAGTAGTGGTGCATCCATTATTTTAACAGTGCTAAATGCTAGCTGGGATACGGACATCTTTTTATGGTTATGGCACAGACTTAACAGTACAAAACTGCAACAGCCAGTAAAATGCTCAATACATTCAATCCAATTGTATGCTAGTAAAGTACAGCTCTGCTAGCCAAGTAAAATCAAGTGATTTCACAATACATAGCCAAGTTGAAGACACATCAACCCCTCTGCCTATTGAATTCAGAATCGGTACCATCTCTGTCCCATGAGTATAGACATTAGCCAAAATGCACTAAAGGGAATTTCTTGTTTGGAGTATGGCTGGAGTGTGAGAATTACAAGAATGGACAATATTTTTGTATTCATTTGAATATAGTATGTACATTAGTTTGGAGTCTTGCTTTATCTTTAAATAGCCTTTTACAGTAGCATTGCATTTCCATCATCTAATTTTGAGTGGCTGGTGCAGTGTTTACTATAGGAATCAGTTTAAGAAGTATAAAGCCTATGTGATTTCTAACCTAGTATCCTCTGTAGCAAGGAATCAGTGTCTAGATAACAGAGCACAAGCTAAGTAGTACAATATCCCTACGGTGACTTATTCTGCACTTGACGTAAAGTCTACAGTATACAGGTGAAACTCGAAAAATTTGAATATCGTGTAAAAGTTCATTTATTTCAGTAATGCAACTTAAAAGGTGAAGCTAATATATGAGATAGACTCATTACATGCAAAGCAAGATAGTTCAAGCCATGATTTGTCATAATTGTGATGATTATGGTTTACAGCTCATGAAAACCCCAAATCCACAATCTCAGAAAATTAGAATATTGTGAAAAGGTGCAATATTCTAGGCTCAAAGTGTCCCACTCTAATCACCTAATTAAGCCATAACACCTGCAAAGGATTCCTGAGCCTTTAAATGGTCTCTCAGTCTGGTTCAGTAGGAATCACAATCATGGCTCCCCAAATCAACACAGACTGTGAAAACTTCACACTGGACTTCAAGCATCTTGCAGTGAGCCTCTCCATTCTTCCTCCATACTCTGGGTCCTTGGTTTCCAAATGAGATGCAAAAGTTGCTCTCATCAGAAAAGAGGACTTTGTTTTTCTTCAGCCCAGGTAAGACGCTTCTGACGTTGTTTGTTGTTCAGGAGCGGCTTGACAAGAGGAATACGACATTTGAAGCCCATGTCATGTCCAGGATCAGTCTGTGTGTGGTGGCTCTTGATGTACTGGCTCCAGCCTCAGTCCACTCCTTGTGAAAGTCCCCAACTCTTTTGAATGGCCTTTTCCTGACAATCCTCTCCAGGCTGCGGTCATCCCTGCTGCTTGTGCACCTTTTTCTTCCACACCTTTCCTTTCCACATAACTTTCTATTAATGTGCTTCGATACAGCACTTTGGGAACATCCAACTTCATTTGCAATTACCTTTTGAGGCTTTCCCTCCTTATGGAGGGTGTCAATGATGGTTTTCTGCACAACTGTCAGGTCAGCAGTCTTTCCCATGATTGTGATTCCTACTGAACCAGACTGAGAGACCATTTAAAGGCTCAGGAATCCTTTGCAGGTGTTATGGCTTAATTAGCTGATTAGAGTGGGACACTTTGAGCCTAGAATATTGCACCTTTTCACAATATTCTAATTTTCTGAGATTGTGGTTTTGGGGTTTTCATGAGCTGTAAACCATAATCATCACAATTATGACAAATCATGGCTTGAACTATCTTGCTTTGCATGTAATGAGTCTATCTCATATATTAGTGTCACCTTTTAAGTTGCATTACTGAAATAAATGAACTTTTGCACAATATTCTAATTTTTTGAGTTTCACCTGTATATTATACCTATTATTATTATTAACACCACTTAATACAAATATGCTCTATAGAAACTGTTTTCCTGTACAGTAACCTCTAGGATCTATATGCTGTCTGAAATCTGGACAAAGATTTTAAAAATGTCTGAATAAGGGACTAAATATTTTAAGATTCATTTAACATTCTAGAGCATTTTTACAACACAATATCTATATATTAAACATAGTCAAAGTGCACATAAAAAAGAAAAAAAAAAAAAATCAAACCTTTCTATCAAAATATAGAGAGCTTTTACATATATTTGCTGAAATCTAACACTGCTCTAAATGTAATATATCTTTTTTTAAGTTAGGAGAAATGGGTGATAACCAAATACATACCTTTGTAGCTTGTCAGCAGCAGATGCCAGATGTCCTTGAATTTCAGGGGAACACTTCCACCTAAGTCTTCTAGGCGCTGGAAGTTCACTGACTGAATCTGCTCTCACTAATTTTTTGGGACTACTTTTCCTGAAAATTGATTTAGAATATTTAAGGCATCAGAACACAAACTGTGTAAAAAAAAAAAATAATAAACATAAGCTTACATTTTTTTTCAACATTTCCTGTTTTCAGATCACCTATAGATAATCATACCATACTTTGTAATAAAAATCGACCACCGCTGGAAATGGGAACAGTAAACTTTCCCCAAAACAGGCACTCCCAGGAACAGTTGCAGCTGGCTTGCCCTACACTTTTTTCCTGAATGGCAACACACAGTTTGAGTGTAGGCAGTCTTTGTACAGCAAGTCCATAGCCTATATTAATCAAAACATCTGCTTGTCTGAGCCAGTAACCAAATTCATGCTCTGACCAACAAGGTGCCTCCTATTTTAGGTTCCTCCAAAACAGATAGCCTTGAACATAAGTTGGCTCACGTATAAAAAGGCCTGTGGACAGCTGAGATCATTTAATGAGGCCTGGCTGCTAAGTAAGATGTGGACCTAAGAATGGAGACTTTTCCCACTCAAAGAATTATAAAGCCTTCAAGCTCCAGGACGCAGAACAGAACATGTAAGGTATATGATAAAGCATTTTGCTTTATTGTTCCATTAAAGTGCTTCTAAAGACTTAATGTTTTTCACCTTAAAACATTCTATGCATTAATGTGAATAACCTTCTGTTCTTCAGTTCCCCCCAGTCCCTCTTTTTGTTACTGGAGCCCAATTCAATCCAGCAAGGTGCATGAAAACCCTTCCTCTAGCCACTGTCTCCCTTCTCATTGGGCAGATTGATAGCAGTGGGATGGCTCCTGTTGCTGTAAATAAAATGCTGTGACATGGGAGCAGGGGTGGGGCTGAGCTGCCTGCTCTGTGACAGTGGACACAGGGAGGCTTGGGAGTGAGCCTTCACGGGTGTCTCCATGGAAAGCGTCTTTCTGTGGGGGCACCCACTTAAAAGAAGGGGCCAGGAGAGCCACCGGGGGACCCCAGAAGAGGAGGATCAGGTGCTCTGTGCAAAAGCATTGCACAGAGCAGGTAAGTATAGACATGTTTGTTATTTTATTAATAAAAAAAAAAACTAAGGTTTATTATCACTTTAAGGACAGAGTATCATTAATAATCCATAGGCAATTGGTTTGTACTGTCGCCTTCAGAAGGAAATGGACACTGGCAAAAAAAATAACAGTTGGCTAGCAGGTATGACCCCTGCCACTCCCATCTTTACTAGTCATTTACAAGACTCTGTGGATACACCGCTGAGCTTTCTTTGGAGCAATTAGAATGGGCTACTTCTCATTGATGCTGTAGCTGAACCTTGCAGGGCTGAAATAATGACCTTCAGGCACTGAACTCTGATTGTGGCACTTCCCAGACCTCTGCCTACGGTGTTGGCTGACACTTTTGGTGTAACCCAGTCTCCGAAGACTCCCTAGTGAATTACTCCCAAGAATGGGGTGAGGGTGACCTATGACTATGACTTTCAGCACTGAATTTCTACTATTAAACAAAAACAATTTTCCATCCATTCTATGGAAAGGGTTAACAATTAATCATTTTGTGCTGCTCCTCTAACTGCACTGTTTGTATGCGTGTTTTGCATATTCTGTTCCCACCTTTTTCAGTGTGCGTCAAAATCTGTCTTCCATTACTCTAATTTTAAACGACTCACCTGCCACCTACAGTGACCCAGTTTACCTCTGGCCATTATGCTCTGGTTTGTGAGTACCCCAGGTTTCTCATTTGGATCCCAAGTACAAGGGAAGTAGTTCTGCTGTGTTTGCACTCTCTAGCTCATTTAAAACCATTCCCTCTTTAGGGACCTGACACCAATAACTCAGATCCTGGTCTTCTATTTGAGGCCCCATACTCCTCAGAGTCCCCCCTTGCCTAATCAGGTATGGCCTTTTCTGAGACCTATCCAGGAAGGAAATCTCTACAGCTATGCTAGATTTTGTGGACTAAATTACAGCTATAACTGCTGACTCAATATGAATTGGGTTTGATTGGTCAGTTATATGGCCATAACCGTAAATGTCACTTCTTTCTGGTTTTCTTCACTGATATTATTTTACTAAATTTAAAATATAATACAAACTTTTACTTTAAGCCCAGTAGCCATTATACATTAAAATATGACAGAGCTGAGCCGCATCATCCTTTTCTTGGGATCCTTTGTTGAGATCTACTATGTCAACCAGATGTTCTGCTTGTAATGCGTACAGTGCCATGAAAAAGTATGCATACCCCTTGAAATTTTCCACATTTTGTCATGTTACAACCAAAAGTGTAAATGTATTTTTTTTTTTATTTTTATGTGATAGACCAACACAAAGTGGCACATAATTGTGAAGTGGAAGGAAAGTGATAAATGGTTTTAAACATTTTTTTTTTTACAAATATCTGAAAAGTGTGGTGTGCATTTGTATTAAGCCCCCCTTTACTCTGCTAGACCTAACTAAAATTTAGTGGAACCATTTGCCTTCAGAAACCACCTAATTAGGAAATAGAGTCCACCTGAGTGTAATTTCATCTCAGTATAAATACA